AGAGTGTGGCTTGGCCATTCCCCCTGGGGGGTGACTTCTTACTTTCCCTGTTTCTGTCTCTTGCTCTAGATGGTAAGCACACACGCACTACAGCAAAAACATCCAAAAACAAAACAAGCAAAACCTAAATCTCATTTCAAATATTAAAATTCTGACTAAAATTTAGTCACAGGTAAATGCAAAAAAGAAAATAATTCTGGTCGGTGCAGACCCCTGTCTCCTTTATCCCCACTCCCCTTTTCGTGGGGAGTCCCTTTCTGATGCTGGTAGCTCTCTCCCAAACGCCCATCTTTCTTGGTGTCTAGACCTGCCCCCCTAACTTGGCGGGTGGCTTTCATAGCCAGATGTGTCTTGATCTCTTTCTTCTTTGTTGATTACCATCATTTCCCTACTGGGTAAAAGGAAGATCCGAGGACAGCTTATCTCTGTGGGGTAAGCAGAGTTGAGGTCAAATCTCTTATAGAACATGAAAAACAAGGAAACCTCTGGTCTGGAAGTGTCAAGATTCCTCAGAACTTATAGTCATAGGGACCTTACGGTTCGTCAGGCTACCGACTCACTGATTTTGTACCACCCCTGAGCTGGAACTGGTGGCAGATTCAATGCAAGAACATGTGAGGGGCGATATGGGGACAGACGGGTAACAGAGAATGGACCGGCCCCCGCAGCTGTCCAGGACAGCACAGCAGCCCTTGATGGAGGCACTGAAGCATCAGCCTGCCATGGCCAGCTAACCCCGCAGCCTGCAGGCACTCCCTCTAGGACAGTGGGCTGCTTCTGCCAGTGGATGTCTACGGTGGGGCTGCCTCGAGAGCTCTGGAACTATCAAGTCAGTGGAACAACTTCCAAGACTAAAAGGGGCCATGACACATCATCTCATTCATCTCCTTGCTTTCAGCAGTAAGAGCACTCCTAAGCCTCCCAGTTATCCGGGAACACAATTTATGGTTAAAGCCTCCAGGTGGAAAAAGAAAAGATTTCACAACTTTTCTTCCATAGACCAGTTTAGTTGTATGCTTGTCAACTCTTCCAGAGTCTAAGAGAACGCTGACACTTGTTTTTGATGTCCTATCCATTTTAATCAGTCTAACTACAAGAAGGGAATTCAAGTGGGAGGGTCCTTTAATTCAGTGAAAGCGGGGTACAGACAGGCATGCCCAAAGCTAAAGGGGTGAGGGGTGGGCAAAGGCCTCCCGGTGAGGCCCTGAGAACCTCGGCATGTGCTTCACACCCGCTGCATCTCCCTCTGAGCCGCCCCTCCTCTGCTGCCAGCCTTTCCCGAGTTGTGCCACCTCTGTGACGTACTGCAGCCTGACAGAGCGCCCCGGTCTCCATCGCTGGTGCCCAAAACACTGTCACATCCTTATGAAACAGCAAAGAGCTATTCCTTGGAAGTCTGGTAATATCATCTGTTCAGAATCAAAGTCTCCTGCCAAAGATCTGAGAAACCCCGTCACCATGGCTTCCTCCTCTTCGGGCATCCTCAGCCATGGGCAGGGTGTCCTTTCCTTGGGAGACACTGAGGCTGAACGTGTCACTTGCATGCGGTTTTGCGGAAGACAGAGAGGAGGTCACACGTTCAAAACCTCCACTGCTCTTGGGCTGGGGGTTGGAAAGAAAGCTAGTAAGTAAAATCTGTGGTGCACATTTTTCCCCTGCAGGAAAGGGTGTGAAGGGCGGGGTGGATTTACCAGAAGTTTGGCATCTGCTTTGAAGTCTTCTGGACAGGAAAAGTGCAGCACCAGGGAGGCAGCCTTCACAACATCCTCCACAGGCTGATGCGGTGGAAAATAGTCACTGAGGAAGAAGTCCCTTGAGAAACCTTTTCCCTCTCTCTCCTCCTGGAATTGCTAGAAACTAGGTAGAGTCCAGAGGTCTGCGTTTCAAGAGTGGCCCCAAGGAGTTTGCAGTTTCCAGGTGGAAACAGAGCTCAGAAGAGGTTTTTCTCCTCAAGGAAATCTGGCTAGTTTCTCTGCCATCCTGTCCAGAGCATGTCAGTGGATTTGGCACATGTGCGCACATAGCCAGGCTTCCTGCAAGCCTCCTCCAGGAGAAAGGCTCTTGGAAGCAGCAGACAGGCTCGCCCCTCTACCACACAGCTCCCTTTTCCAAAGGAAGTAGGAGCTACCCACCAGCTACAACCCACACACCACAGAGGAGCCGTGGAAACGGTCATGCATGCAACTGATACCCAAACCCCTCACCCACAAAAAGTGGATAAATGAGCGGCAGAACTGAGCCGCTGAGTGCCTAGCCCTTTGGAGCTGCAGCCTCGGTCCAGAAGGCGCAGGCTTCCTGACTGGTCTCCTGGTGGCCGAGCAATTCTTCACAACGCAGTAAGGAGGTGTGAATAACTGACAGCTAAGGAGCGACCCCCGTCCTCCTGGGGCTGCCAGGGCTGTGTGAAGCAGAGGTGGTTGCGGCAGACTCCTTGACGGAGGCGCGGAGATCCAGGAACTCCAGGATGATGTCCCCAAGGCAGTAGAGTAAATGTCTAGAACAAACAGGCCAGCTTAGAGGAGGGTCAGGCTTAGCCTTTGAGTACAAGATCCTGCTTATGACATTTATTTTCTCCCCCTCACCCATTCCAGATTCCCTAAACTTCAATAGCTTGCTGAAGCCTCTACCATGAAATTAATGCTTGTTGAACTGATAAAGCGATGACCCTAATAAAGGCAGAGGTGGTCACAAGACTAGAGTTACGAGATTGCACTTCTCTTCACACAGCTACATTAGCACATCGGCACTGCTCTCAAAATCCTACTGATGTCGAGTCGCTAAGCATTTCCAGAGAGCCTGACTCCTGCCGTTTCTCCCAATTAACCACTATAGACTTACTGGCTACTTTACAGGCCACGGGGCAGACAGGACCTGCAAGGAGCGGGCAGAGAGACTCAGTCTGTTGTGAATAAGGTTTGAGAGATGAGGGCAAGAGCATGCAGCACTCTCATCCCAGACTGATCGCTCTCTTCTAGATTATTCTGGGAGCCTTCCCCCAGCATTCCTGGCTCCTCTATCAGACTCCTACCTCCGATCCTGTCTAGCTCCCATTAAGGTGACCCCTGACCCCAGCATTGCGCACAGCTTTGCTAAGAGGCCAGAAGCCAAGGCTGAAAGTCACTGCAGGCCCAATGGACAGCACATGGGCCAGGGTTTGTCCTTACAGCCTTCACAGGGGCTAGCAGAAGTGGGGGGCCACTCAGGACCACTGAATAGGCCTGCCGGCAGCTCATGTGGGGGCCACATCGAGTTCTTTCGGATGCAAGTGGTCTGCTGCAGCAGGAGCTCCTAAGCTGCTCAGACGCTGGCAGGAGTTCTGCTTCACTTAGGGGCCTGGACACCAGGCTGCAGGCAGGGCCCACCGTGGGTGATGACCACAGCCCCTCCTCCTCACTATGGTTTTCCATCTGGAAGCCTTGGCTGGCTTTCCCCATGCTGACATCGGGCTCCTCTCTCAGCCTACCTGTTGATGAGGGGCTGCTGCAGCGACTCCAGGACCAGTCCCCAGCTCAGCCGACATTTGTGCACCCCCAGGACATCCACTATGAAATCTGAGGGAGGAGACAAACAGACTCTGTGTTACCACTGAAGCCTTTGCGTCCAGGGAGGTGACCACCTGGCTCTGCATCTTCGCAGACTGAGTACTTCAGGCACACCTCCAACCACACAGCCAACGAACACCCTCAGGACACAGAAAAGCTACAAAAACTATGTTTAAGACAGGTATCTCAAAAAGAAAGGGCCTCAAGAAATAATTTCATACCCTGCCACTGAAGTGTTGATGCTTCTCTGACCTAGCAGTGGGCTGGAGAAGGGAGGGAGAGCAGGGTAGGCCAAGCAGCGGGTCCAGAGTCAGCTGCGTCCACTGCTGCCCCTTTACTGCAACCGCAGGCAGCAGACCGCCTCCCCTGGCCTCTGGTAACAGCACGAAGTAAGGAAAAGGGCCCTCTCAGGCTTGCCTTGTATTAACCTCTAAGGGCCGCCTCTTCCCCAGTGGCTCTGTCACAGCTGAACTTAGGCTGGACATGCCATTTCTTCCCTCCTTGGCCAGGAGGCCATGAGGGGCAGAGAACCCCAAGTCTTCATCTGGGGGTAATGGCCCTGAGACCTGACCCTAGAGGCCCAGCCGCTCCAGACCTGCCCAAGGCTATTAACCAAATAACGGCAGGGTTCTCGCCTAGTGTCAGGGGGT